ACAATTGTAAGCTCTAAAATAACCAATCGTATAGAGTTTATATTATGATTACTTTAGAACTTGTAATTGTCAAATGAGGGGGGCTATATAGTGGAAGCTCCCAAAGAACTTTTTTTTGTTTTAATCCTAAAAACATGTAGAATCAAAAGAAAAAAAAGTTCATTAAATTAGTTGGATGCTGAGATATCTTTGCTCAAAATTTTGAAAAATTAAAAATGCCTATCAAAATTACAGCTGCAGCAAAATTTTTTCAAAACTTTGAGCGAAGATATCTTAGTATTTTTATAACCAAATTCGATAAACTTTTTTTTCTTTTAATTCTACAAATCTGTAGAAGCAAAGAAAAAAAAAAGTTCATTGAATTTAGTTAGATGAATGCTGAGATATCTTTGCTCAAAGCTTTGAAAAAATTCAAAACGCCTATCAAAATAACAGCTGCAGCAAATCTTTTTTAAAACTTTGAGCGAAGATATCTCAGCATTCATCTAACTAAATTCAATGAACTTTTTTTTATTTTGATTTTACAGGTTTGTGGAATTAACCCAAAAAAAAAAAGTGGTTAGATGGATGCTGAGATATCTTAGCTCAAAGTTTTAAAAAAATTTTGTCGTAGCTGTTATTTTGATAGAAGATATATCAGTATCTATCTAACAAAATTTGATAAACTTTTTTTCTTTTAATTCTACAGGTTTGTAGAATTAGATCAAAAAAAAAGTTCATCGAATTTGGTTAAGTGATTATCGAGATATCTTTGCTCAAAGTTTCAAGAACTTTTTTGTATCTATTATCTTGATAGATATTTTAAAACTTTGAGCGAAGGTATCTTGGCAACCACTTAATCAAACTCGATGAAATTTTTTTTATTTTGATTCTACATATCTGTAGAATCAAAATAAACAAAATATATTAAATCTGATCAAGAAGTTACTGAGATATCTTTGCTCAGAATTAAATTTTTTGGGGGTAATGAATAACAAAATTGGGAGGTATGTATATCAGCCGCCTATTCTTATCCCTCATTTTACAAAATGCATGTCATGTTAAGTATTTTACACATACCATTTAGTTGTACAGATTAATTTACTTGAAAAATCAATGATTCCTGGAAAGAAGGGCTTCGAACGTATTAAATGGTGTTTTAATAATACATTAAGTGATCCATTTCCATTTCTTATTTCTTATGTGGATTCCGGTATTAATTTCAACAATATGTGTTTATTGTTTGCATTGTTTCAATTTTCTTCTAACATTTATAAAAAATAGTAACGCAAGAAACACAGAGAATAATATTTCCGCCAACATTTAATGCCAAGAAACTCAAAATTGAATTTAAATTTGAGAAATTAAATGATTTTATTTTCCCAGACATGGAAGTCATAAAGACCACATCTCAGGAGGATCAACGGAGATCTGATATTGTAGAAATTTATGATTGGCTTGGAATGGCCTCGCTTCGAGCGCAAAGGTAATTGTTGTAAGACTGCACAACTGGCAGTTTCTAATAAGGTTGATCTGAATTATTGGAAATAGACATAATATCCTGAGTAAATTATTTGTAGCAGTTTATACATAAATTGGATGATTCTAAAATTTGAGTCTCCTATTTTAGATCTCTAAAATCCGCAAAATTTCAGCATCAGCTGCTGCATTATCTAATTGTGCATTTTTTTCTTTACAACTTATGATTTCAGGATTAGATTGCAAGATAATGTTGATCCTTATATATCTGTTTATACTCCTCCCGCTCCATATTTAAGTGGTAACGGATCATTATTATGTTGTGTTGGATTTATTCCCTCATCAATAATTTTGTTTTTATTCAAATCTATTTTGTACGTATTAATATATTCTATTTGACAACATTATTCAATCAGTAATTAATTACTATCTTTATTTATGAATCTCATTATAGTGACCAATTTAGCAACTCAAATACCCCTTGGATTGCTTTAAATGTTTGGGGCTTTAAAGATTCACCAATATCATGGAACAAGCAAGAGCATGGCCATTTTATGAATGGTGAAAATAATTATAGTTTTTTATTATGGCCAGATGGTGCTTATATTTTATATCAAGCACTTGGTGCTTATGATAGCTATTCATAAAAAAATATATTAACTAATTAAAAGATTTGAATTTATATTAATTAATTTGTAAATATTTTTAAAATTTTTTAATCCTTTTTGACAATTATTTGGGATCTTCTTTAGTATAGGGGTCTGCAAGTGGGCATGCCAGGCATATTGGCACCAGGCCAGGCACTAGTGCCTCATGCCATGCCCATGCCTAAGGCACAAAAGTGCCAGGCATTACTGTGGGCATGGGCACAAATGCCAGGCATTTTATGAGCATGGGTACAATGTGCTAGGCACTGGCACAAAAGTGCCAGGCACTATTATGGGCACGGCACAATGTGCTAGGCACTATTATAGGCACAGGTATATAGTTGTTAGACGAAACCATGTTGCTCGATGAAAAAAGTCGAAACCTGAGCCTTAAATGACAAAACCTCTGTTGAAAGTCGAAACCTCAAATTCTTCTGACAAAATTCGAAACCCTCAAATTCTTCTAACAAAAGTCGAAACCCCAAACTTAACTTGACAAAACCCTAGTACTCCTAAAAAAAAAAAAAAAAAAAGTGTAAATTACTAAAAAAATCCATTACCGAAACTCTTATCAAATTCTTGTGCTCCTGCTAAAAAAAATTAATGAAAATCTATTGAGGCTTTCTTTTTATTTATATTTAATGCTGAAGCTGTTTATTGGCTTGA